AAGTAAGTAGTTGAGGCAAAAGCAAATCCACCAAAAAACCCGAGAAGCCCACCGAAGAAAGGTAAGGTAATTCCAATAAACATGGTAAATGCTGCAATCAATTAGGAGCGCATAAACTTGTGAGGAACATGATGATATAATAGAAACACAGAATAGTATAATGAAGGATTCGTAGAAACAAATGTTTACATACCAACGTAAATATTCCTCGAAACAGATCGCAACATCCAACTAGGCTTGAATTTCAGTATTTTCACGAGTAAATATTCTATCATATCGAAAACTGGCATTGTATAAATCTGAAACAAAAGAAATTTTATTTTTTTTAGAACTATTAAATGACTGAAGGAAAAAAAGTCAGATGTCTACCTGGTAACTCCCAATGAGATGAACGACAACAGACAAGTTAGCCATGGCAATTAACCACACGGGCTTTTCTAAAGACTTAAAAATGTTCTCATCGACCTCATTCCCAAAAATCCAATACCCGATAAGAGCCACGGGGAAGTAGCAGATTGCAACGGCTACATAAGCTGCAATCACCCCTTTCCACATAGGTCCCTTAGATGGCTTCTTTGGTGTAGAAGGCATTGTAGCTTGAATCTCCAAGACCACATTATGACCAGCATAAGCAAAAGCAATGCTACCCAAGGAATTGAAGAAGTTGAAAACAGTTCCTGCTGTGGTTTTAGATTTATAGCCGTATTGCACGTCTGATTTTACGCCCCTTTTCAGTGATGCCCCCCAAGCAATAGTTGAGTAACTTCATGTCATAGCATCAGTGTATTAGGATTTCGTTGTTTATATCAGATGATCATAACAAACTTATAAATGTCAAACAGATTCACAATAAATAATCATCAAATGCAATTGAAGAACATAAAATAAAGCAAGGGAGAAAGGCGTTTTCTGAGTCTTCTTTAGCTGGTCTGGCCAACTATCGAGAATGTAATCTGACGTATTGGTTCTTTCCCTACCGTTCACACTTTTTGCTTGACGTGCATACGATTAGAGCTTTTCTTTCGACATACGATGAGGTTAAAGATTGTAATAAAAATCTTGTATCAGTGATTGGATTTCATGAAACTAGAGATTTATGTCCATTTTTCTATGTTGAATAATATGTTGTAACTCGCTCTTTTAGTGATAATTAATATACCATTTTCAAGAGGAACTGATAAAAATGATGTGAAGAAATGAAACATAATTCACCGGCAAAAAGGGTGTCGTCTACCTCAAGGACATGATAGCTGCAGCCAAAGACACTCCAGAGATGGAATCGAAGTTCGGAAGATGAGACAACACAAATTGAACAGAGGCGAAGATCATGATAAAATAGGTTAGCTTAATCTCCTTGCAATGTTCGCACACTAATTGATGAAACCTCTGCAAAGAACTCCCTCCTGTAACCATGTAAACTATGCCTACACCAACTTCAACAATTAGCTGTAAAGGTATTACAATGTAAAGACCAAGTTTTTCACCAAATGCGTGTTGTCCAAGTTCATGGTATCTGTCGAAACGTTTCCCAGGAACCATTTCATGCATTTCAACCATTTGCCATAGAGTGTATAAAGTGATAATCCAAGACATTACGAGTACACCCACTCCAGGGCCCCTGAAAATATGAAAAAATATTCAGTTTTGAGAAATTAGTTTACACTTTATGGATTAAACCATAACCCCTACTTTCGAGACCAATAATAACTAGAAAATGAGAAAAACAAAACGCACAGATTATAGTGGTACATAGGTATGAGAGCCGTGTCCACTCCGCTATATATATTAAGATAAAGAATACAGGTTGATAATATAAGCAAATAATTCTGTATTGAATAATTACATAGTGTGTCATGGATATAACTGTAATCTCTACGTTTAAGGGCGATAATATTCTAAAAAGGAGTAATGAAACACAACTTATTGTACTAATTCACTTAATGTGAGAGACGCACCCACTCACTAGATTTTTAGATAAAAGAATACAAGATTTTCTCACGCTTTCTAGCACAGAAGAGTTTAATTCGCAGTTTCATTTTAGAATTTCACTCACACGGACACCATTTAAGAAATTCAGGAAAAAATTGAATCGAAAAAGCATGCGGAGCGTGTTAAATATTCAAGTATATATAATAACTTATTCCCGCACAGTAAGAGTTTAAACTTTTATATATACATATTGACAATTACATAAATTAATAAGTTATTGACAATTTTTAAACACTTCTTTCAACAAAAATTAGGGATAATCGTAGCTAAGAATCCAAACCTTTTAAAAGGTTGCAGACTTTCCTCTAACTTTTATTTGTTGCGATTGTCATCGCAAACCTTTCAAAATGTTGCGGATGAAGCTCCAACGGACATATTCCATCCAATTTTTTGTTTCTGTTAGTTGACCACATTAAGGACAAAATGGAAACTTTATTTTTCCATTTCATTTATTTCAAGAAACTTTATTTACCATGAGGGCCAACTCACAGTAGCCTCCGTGCACTGTTCTTCTTGCGAAAAATAATCTACAGTCAGATCCTATCAGCAACTACTGAGTCATTCACTCTTTTTTTCATTTTTTTTCTCTTTTATCTTATAAATTAATGGCTTTCCACATTTATAATTATCCTCTCCTTAACTCGCCACTCTCTTCCACCTCACTATACCCTCCCCAACGCCTTCCTACCCAATCCCATTCTCTACTCTAATAATAACAATTCCAAGGTCCACAACATATATACATCGTTGACAACTGTACTTGAAATTAAAATCATAATTTTATGTTTATTTGATGTGTTCTGACGAATTTGATAGATTTTGGGCGTGAATAGTGGGAAACGAAGACGTGTTTCTGTGGGAGTCCAAACGACGGAGAGGGGAGCCATGCCCGAAGACAAAATGTTGGTCAGTAATTCAGTTAAACAAAAAATTGAAGGGTTGGATTGGGGTTAGGTTTGGGGGTGGGAGGAAGAAGATATATTTTTCCTTTTCATTTTATTTTCTTTTTCTTTTTTCTTTTTTTTTTAGTTTTAAATTTTTTAATGTGAAAAATATAAAGTTACAATTTTATCCTTTTATAATTGATTAAAATGTGGTCAACATTCAATTTTTTGGTCAATTAACAGAAATATTGATCGAATTCATCCATTGGGACTTTATCCGCAACGTTTTGAAAGGTTTGGGGGTGATGATTGCAACAAATGAGAGGTTAGGAAAAAATCTGCAACTTTTTGAAAGATTTGGGTCTTAACTGTAATTATCCCCAAAAATTATAGTAAAACTAAAAAATTAATGTTGTCCAAAATGGAACATACCATCCTAGTTGTGACATGGCATGAGGGAGAATGAGAATTCCAGCTCCAACCATTGCCGTAACATTGTGGAAAGCTGAATACCACCATTTTGCACCCCTAGCAGAAGTTATTGGAAGCCATTCGTCTATCGCTTTCTCTTGTGCATCTCGTTCATCAACCTCCTATTCAAGGTAATGTATTATTCATCAAAATACAGTACTCTTATTAATATTGGTGCATATCCAGAGGGAAAAAAAAAGAAAAGAAAAGAACTCACTAGATTTCCTTATGGAGAACGGAAAAAAAAAAAGAAGAACTATCTAGAATTAAGCCACTGTCATTGACTGCCTGATAAATTCAATAGCATCTATAGGGCTAGAGGCATCTTGAGGCATCTTGAGACACTTGACAGTGTCTAGAACTCTGCAGCAAAATGGTGTGGCAGAACAAATTAATAGAACTTTGATGGAAAATGTTCGTTGTGTGCTTTCAGACGTTGTCGAATACTTTTTAGGCAAAAGCTATTACTATAGCTTGTTTTCTGATTAATCGCTCACCCTCAGTTGCCATTGGGAAAAAATATACCAGAAGAGGTGTGGTTCGGAAAACCTTCTTATTACTTTGATTTAAAATTTTTGGGTGTCTTGCTTATACTCATATGAATAATGGGAAGCTAAAATCTAAGTCTAGAAGTACATTTTTCTTGGGTATAAATTAGGTATAAAGGGGTATAAGCTGTAGTGTCTTGAGACAAGAAAGGTGGTGGACATTAGAGATGTAGTGTTTGATAAACTTGCTATGTTTCATGGTTCGTCTCGTGTGGATTCTGATAAAATTGAGTAACCAAATCATTCAACTTCGATAAAGTTGGAAATTGGTTCAAGAGAACAATTGGAGGCTTTAGAACTGAGTATTTCAAATCAATCTAGTTCAGAGCTAACAAACAGTAACACTTTGTCTACTATGCCTACACCACTACCAAGATCATAGTATTCGATTGCTAAGGATATACTTCACAAATAGATTAAACCTACACAAAAGTATAGAGAGATAGACTTGGCAGCCTATGTTTTGAGTATGGCTGACAGTATTGATCCCACCGATGGCCTGCTATACATTCAAAGGCGATAAATTGTAATGATTCTAACAGATAACCGATTGCGAGAAGATTAATTGAATAAAAACAGTACTTAGAACTTTGTGAAATTACCTAAAGATAAATAATAAAAAAAAGAGTAGTTCATTGCAAGTAGGTGTTTAAACGGAAGGGGGGACATCAAGGATTGAAAATGTAAGATATAAGATCAGATTGGTAGCAACGGGCTACAGTCAGATTCTAGTTGTTGACTTCACACATGTATTCTCACCAGTTGTAAAGCATAGATCATTTCGAGCTATATTGTGGTTGTGGCTAAAAATGATTTGGATGGAGCTTGAGTAGATGGACGTCGAAACGTTTAGATTCATTCATGACTACTCATAATTTCATTAGAAGTTGTTATGATAGTTGTGTGTACTTTGGAATGGGAGTTGATGGATTGCTTTCTTATTTGTTGTTATATTTTGATGATATGCTCATAGCAGTCAAGGATAAAGCAAAGTTCAGAAACATAAAAGCTCAACATTATGATGAGTTTGAAATGAAGGACTTGTGTGGAGTGAATTGTCCAAATGGTCACTGAACTTTGCAAAAAATTTTCAAAGGGTCACTGAACTTTAAAGATTATCTAAATGGTCACTAAATTTTGCAAAAAGTTTCTACGGGATCACTAAACTTTAAAAATCACTTAAACAGTCACTGAACTTTGCAAAAGGTTTCCTAGGGATCACTGAATTCGATGACCTCAGGGAAACCTTTTGTAAAGTTTAGTGACCATTTAGGTGATTTTTAAAGTACAGTGATCTTGTAGAAATGTTTTACAAAGTTCAATGACCATTTAGGTGATTTTTAAAGTTCAGTGACCCCTTGCAAACTTTTTACAAAGTTCGTGACCATTTGGGCAATTCACTTGCTTATGTGTAGCAAGGAAGATTCTTGGTATGAAGATCTTGAGGAATATAAAAGCTAGCAGATTTATTTGAGTCAAAAGAGGTACATTAAAAAATGTGCTTTATATGTTC